TACGAACCGGCTAACTAGAGCTTTCGTGCTGATAACGTGTTGTAATCTTGTTGTTATATCTACATACATCATATATATCAAAAGTAAGAATCAAACATGAAATGTAAATGTAAATAGACAAGAGAAGAGAGAGGGAGAAAAGGGCTAAATACCCATATTGGTATTTTAATTCAACCTCATTTGCCAAGAAGGTATTTTAAATAAAAAAATCGGCGTTAAGGCATTTTAATTGATTAAAATTACCAATTAGGTCTTTTTTCTCGTCGGCGACCACTTTTCCGGCGAGAACTCGTTACGTGCGTGGCACGTGATGACTTAATCTGTATAAATATCCATATTGGTATTTTAATTCAACTCAATTTGCCAAGAAAGTATTTTAAATAAAAAATCGGCGTTAAGGCATTTTAATTGATTAAAATTACCAATTAGGTCTTTTTGCTCGTCGGCGACCACTTTTCTGGCGAGAACTGGTCACGTGCATTTTAATTCAACCGGTTTTCTGACGTGGTAGTGGCAGGAAGAATAAGAGTCGATGCATTTTAAAATCCCCCATTTCTAAAATTGGTAAAAAAATTAGCGAAAAATTAGTGGAGAAATTACCGTATAAATAGAACCTCTTTCTCTTGCATCGATCCATGGCCGCGCCGGCGGCAATCTAGTCTGCAGTGATCTTCGTCTTCTCACTCTCTTCTCTCCGAATTCCCATGGCGTTTTCTTCTAGAAGTTCCTGGAATCGGGGGTTTTGGCTGCTTCTGTTAGCGGTAAAGGTAAGATAATTGAGTTGGATCTGAGATCTGGAGTGAATGCGTGGAAGTTTGATCTTTGTTTTGAAATTTTTAGGGTTCGGGTTGGTTTGTTTTGGACTTAAATTGTGATTAAGCCACATCAGCAGCTAAAACCGAGCCACATCAGCAAATCGAGCTACATCATCAGCTAAAACACAGATTAAGTCATCATGTACTACACACGTGACGAGTTCTCACCGGAAAAGTGGTCGCCGACGAGAAAAAAACCTAATTGGTAATTTTAATCAATTAAAATGCTTTAAGGACGATTTTTTATTTAAAATGTCTTCTTGGCAAATGGGGTTGAATTAAAATATCAATATGAGTATTTATACAGATTAAGTCATCACGTACCACGCACGTGACGAGTTCTCGTCGGAAAAGTGGTCGCCGACGAGAAAAAGGACCTAATTGGCAATTTTAATCAATTAAAATGCCTTAACGCCGATTTTTTTATTTAAAATATCTTCTTGGCAAATGGGGTTGAATTAAAATACCAATATGGGTATTTAGCCGGGAGAAAAGTGATTCTCATTTTATTCATCTTCCTCTTTCCTCTATACATTTTGTAGTCCATGACATACATTATATAGATGGATAATAAGAAGACTAAATGACATGGGCTAATGAAAGTCACCTAATTAATTTTCCATATTCAAGTAATGTTCACATAAAAAATGATTTAAGGACCCAAAATATAGGACCAAAGGAGAGGACATGTGAGGTGTCCCCTCCCTATTGCATAATGAGTTGGCCATGCCAACTCATCATGCAATAGGAAGGGGACACCTCACATGTCCTCTCACTTGGTCCCATATTTTGGGTCCCCGTAACAGCACTCTATTCACATTCATCTTATCTTCTAGATTTCAACACCCCATATATACTTTTAGTAGTTTGGCCCTTATCCCAAAGCATGCATGTGTTCAGTGCACCAAATTTAAGCATTCCGTTACAACTGCAAAATTACTTATTACACCAATTAATAAATTAGTAAATGCCAATCTGCTTTGAAAGAAATATGATTAATATCTGAATAATAACTTTTAAAAATTAGAAATTCGTACTTTTTTCCATGCAGGAGAAACTGTCAACTGATACAATGAATATTCGAGGAGAATATGGGTACGATTTTGTTGTCTTTTTCTATTTTTTTCTGTTTACTTTTGTATATTGGCAGAAATCTCAAACAAGATTACAAAATGTATGCTATTTGACGAATCATTGTAAATGTTCTATTATTGATTTCATTAATTTATATATTATTTTGGTTATGCTATACTCATTTCTCAGGTCTAGTTTGCCCTAGTATGTCCCTGTTTCTCAAATTTAATACATTAAAATATTCAAATTCATCCTAAAATGTTCACTTGTTTTCATTAAATTGTCAAGAATCAACTTTCTGAATTAAAGAAAACTATCATTTCCTTTTTAAAAAAAACTCTACTATGTTGTATATTTTAATAGAAGAATTAAGGGTGTGGGAATAGTAATTCGACACAACAGATTCACATATTTAGGATGTTTAGTAATAAGTTATATAATACTTCATTATAGGGTTCTGAAAATTAAGGTTTTTTTTTGTGATTTAGCCCATATTAAAATATTCATGATAATTTAGAATCTTAACTAGACTGTAACTTTTCAGTCAACTGTTTGATTTTTTTTTTTGTCAATGAATGAAATTTTATTCATAACCAAAATGTGCAGTAATATCATACATCCTTTTTCCAGATAAAAACCTGGAAACCCTCCTCACATATACATCACTTATTATAATATCTCAAGTTTTTCTTTCAAATGCAAAGGAAGATTAAGATTCAAGACCTTTGAGTAGATGGACATCTTCACTTCTCTAAAGAGGAAATCTATGCATGTAGCTTTGTTTTGAAAAATCCTCAAATTCCTTTCTTCCATATCATGTACACAGTAACTGAAAGTGTCATTCTCTTAATCTTCTTCAAAAAAACCTTTGCCTTTAAGGCTGTAGCAGTACCACCTGAAGACATGACTCCAATTGCATGACCTTCTAGCATATTTCAGCCAAGCCATAACTTTATTCCATAGCTGAGTTGAAAACTGACAGTCGAAGAACAAATGTTGACAGGATTCTCTTTGAGTTAGGCAAAGAACACATAGATTGTTATTAAGAATCCTCATACGGCATAACCTATCTTGAGTTAAAAGCCTTGAATGAGAGACAAGCCACAAAACAAATGAGTGTTTAGGATAGTTAAAACCCGGCCTCCCATACAGTTTGATTAGTCATGAGTATTTTATCCCTCGTTTATATTAGAGAAAGTTTTTCTAACATTTGAAGTTTGTAGCATGAATTAAGCTTCCTTTTTTCCTTTCTTGAGATGTTGGTACTAATAATGAGACATAGCGGTTGATTTATTGTCATGTGTAATTTTAGAATCCATGTAGCAAGATAAAAGCTTTGATAGTAATTGCGAGGGAAGACGAGGGTGTTATAAGAGGGCTTCATTTGAAGAAGTTGACCTAGCTTGTAGAGGGTTATACTGTTCTAATGATCGGATGGCCTGCGCTTGCAGAAAATGCATCACAAGGTCAAATATTGATCAAAGCTGTTGAAGTTTCTAACTATTACATCAAAACTTCAAAATAATGATAAAAGCTAAGGATTATATTTTAAAAATTCTAACAATAACCACTCTAACAATCCATTTGATGGCTTATAGCTGATAATGTTTTAATCTAAAAATTGTTAGATTTGGGGGTGGAAACCAAACCTCCGACGGCGGAGGAGCTCCGACGAGCTCCAGGATGACGCAGGCGAGCTCCGGTTGTCCAGGCGACAGGCGGCGAGGTCCAGGCGACAGGCGAGCTCTGCGTTCGCACAGCTCTGCGTTCGACTGCCCCCCGAGCTCTGCGTTCGCCTGCCCCCCCGAGCTCTGCGTTCGCCTGCCCCCCCGAACTCTTTTTCTCCAGCTCTCAACGGGAATTTTGAGGGGAGATTAAAAGAGAGATTAAGAAGAGAGAGAGGAATTAAAGAGGGTTTTATTTGTGGGGTATTTATTCTCAAGTGAGAATTGAAAGGGTTCATACCCTTTAATTATTAACACTGTAGCTACAGTGTTTATTTGAGAAATCTCAGTTTTGAGATCTGCTTCTAAATTGTAATTTCTTGTTTGATTAATAAGAAATTATCTGTGTGGCTCCCGAGAACGTAGGCAGTTGCCGAACCTCGTAAATCTTGGTGTACTGTCCTCTATTCTGCGTTTCTGTTGCATTAGGGGATTTAGGCGTTAAATTCCTAACAAAAATTTGTAACCTAAATGGGTCTTGAGATTTCATAACTCAGCTTACACTGGTTAGTAGGATAATTTTGCTTTTTGTCTTCTAGTTATAAATAACAGACGAAACCCATGTGGAGCTCACATGATGAATGGCTGAAAACGAGACGATACTCCTCGCTCAATACTACCGAGCACATCCTCAGAACATTCTGGATCCCCCACTAAACGACAAAAAGGTCCTCACTGACAGACCCGACCCGACATGACCCGACCCGCTTTTATCTTTAGTCGGTCAACCAATTTGATCCCTTTACCGGTCGCATTAGAAAATAGGGTTAACTCCACATAAACCCCCATACTTTTGAGGGCGTTCCGATTTAACTCTCTTAGACTTTGTTTATCTCATTTAACCTCTCTAATTTTAGGGTGTTTTACAAAATCTCCTTAAGCTATAGCATTTTCTGAATGGACCTCCTACTTAAAATTTGACGTTTGTTTCATACAGATAACTTAACCCTCTAATTAAATTTTGTGTTCTGTTCTCTCAGGAAAATTATATTTTTGTTTGCAAATTGCATAAGTTTGTGTTCTGTTCTCTCAAGAAATTTATATTTGTTTGCAAATTGCGTATAAGGGTATCTTGTGAGCAATGTTTCAAAGCTAGGGGTTGTTTGTGATACACTCTAAAGTTTAGGGCGTTTATGTGAAATTAATCCATAAAAATAAAAAAAATTCTTCAAGTACCCAAAATATGGGACCAATAGGGGGGACAAGTGAGGTGTCCCCGTCTTATTGGATAATGAGTTGGCCATCATTCACCAACTCATTATCCAATAGGAGGGGGACACCTCACTTGTCCTTCTTATTGGTGTCATATTTTGGGTCCGGTAGCAAAGCTCTAAAAATATATAGCTGCTCCCTGTAAATGTTATATTAATTAGTTCGAAGAAAAAGAAAAGAAGTGCTCAACATGCAGAGGCACTTCGTCCCTGAATTCGATTTCAAAGAAAACGAAGAACCATTAACCTTTGATTCTCCACCTCCTTCCCCTCAAAAGTTTGATTTTTAACCTTTTAACCATATTTAGTATCTCCTCTCTCTCTCTCTCTCTCTATCTCTCTCTCAATGTTGATGGATTCTAGCAACTTAATCAATTTGCTTCAAAATTTCTCTCTTTAGGCACGCTGATCACGCTGACGAGGGGTCGATAATGGAGCTTGCGTGGCACCAAGGCCCGGTGATTGGCCCGCTCCACGCCGACCCATTTCTCACGCAGCGGACGTGCGTTCGTCGCGCGGAACGAGCAAAGGGGGCGACTTTTAACGGAGGAGGACGAGATGGACACGTGGCTACACAGCATGATCAGGTCGAAGAACGAGGAGAGATCATATTGGAGCAGTCGTCGAAAGGGGTAGTTGTCGTCAGGAGGCTGCGGAGAGAGTTGCGGTGCCGAGGAGGCTGTCGCTGCTGCTGCCTGTCTGCTGCTGCTGCTGCAACAGCAGCAGCAACATCTACGGAGTTTGATGCGGTGGGCAAGGCGTTTGACACTATTTGGTCGCCTGCGAGAGATTCTGGTGGCCGCGGCGCGCACGCGAGCGAGGGGAAGAGGAAGGCGAGGACGGGGAGGGATCCTGGGTGTCACCAGGAGCTAGGTTAGTGTAATATTATATACAGCCTCTTCGTGTTGCTGCAATTTTGGTCTATTTTCAGCGCTTAATTTCCTTCTTTTATGTAGACAAATCATGCAGCGAAGAAAGAGAGCACAATAATCTTAAGGTTTGATGTTTGCGTTCTGCTGAACTATTAAATCTGTCTCTGCAATTGCATCCTGGACCCATTAATTTTGGCCTGGACCTCGCGAGAGCCAAACTGTTGATTAAATATATCTCTCTGCTTGCCCTCTGAAATATATTTTCAGACAAACTTACTTACTTACTCTCTGATTTATCACTTTCCTCACATAAAATGTTCTATTTAAAACACCCGTGATATTAGTTCATAGGATAATTAGTAGGGATAAATGTATTAGTTTAATTAGACGACGCCGAGTGGGATCGACCAAAATGGGCTCAGACGGCCGGTAAGTAAAGTATGGAGTCAATAGTTTAGGGAGGGTGCTAAGGACTAAAAACAATATGGGAGTTAGCATAGACGAATTCAACAGTTTAGGAGTCATCTAGATCTAGGGCCTGAGACCTAATTTTTGCTGTCAAATTATAAATTATTAGCATGCATATAAATTCGAAAAATAAATTTAACAAAAAACTGGCCTGATCGGATAGCAGTCGCGTTGCCCTAGAAGATTGATGACCCGCCTATCGTTCTAGCGTAGATAATCCCCTCTCCCCTAGCGGTAAAACCCCCGGAAACGACGGGTATCCGTACTCGGACGAGAGTATAGAGCTTCTCCTCAGAAGAAGGCGGTTGCCCAAAAGAAAATTTAATAACAACAGAGGATTTTTGAGAGAGAGAGAGAGAGAGTAGTTTTTGATTTTAAGAAGACAGAAGAAAGAAGTCGTAGCTGTGTTTTCCGAACTGGTTTACACGAGATATTTATACGGTTTTAGAAACCCCTAGCCGTTGAAAAATCCGCTGAATCCAAGCCCATGATCGACTTTACCGAACTAGAATACGTACGATATTTGTTACTAGTCAAACCTTTTTACGTAATATTCTAGAGGTAGAATGTTCTAGAGGTAGAAAATACTAGAGAGTCCTAAATTTGTCATGAGAATTATCTGGGTCTATAAAAATATCTATAAATAGGTTAATTTCTAGAAAATTATCTGGGAGAGTCGAAGAGATTTCATGAAACACTTTTGCATAGAAGTGGGTCGAAGTTTTAAGGTTGTGGAAGCACATATTATATTGATGCCTATAAATACCCCACGAGGGATGCTTACAAAACATAAAATATGTAGAAACAACTCTCAAAAACAAATAGTCTTTCCTCCAAACTATTTCTAGTTTTTCCTCTACTAAAATTTCCATCCTCTCTACAAATACTTGGTCCGCTAAAGTAGCCTCTTCAAATTTCTAACAATATTAGTGTTATCATAAACTTCAAAATAGTTGAGTTTTCTTAACAGTTTTTCTGTTTGGACCCAAAATACATCGCATGTCTGATAATTAGTCTTTAAAATATTTAAGCGTACCTTGCTCCGAAATCTTTTCCATTTGGAAACTCTCTTTTCTATTGTTGTGTACCTGCTGCTTTCTCATGGATGCCAACGAATAGAATTAGTTCGTGCAATGTCTATGCAATAGTTAAAAGAAATTTCACGTTCAATTTTTCTTTGTACTAGCAGCTTTGCATGTGCTAAATTTTAAAATTTATTTTTCTAAGTTTATATTAAAAAAAAAGATAGTCATAAGCTAGATTTTTTTTTTTTGGTAAATGAAAAGCTTTATTCATCCACCAAGTATGAAAAAAGATATACACATTAAGATACTCAGTATATTAGTTACTGAGATCACAGAAAAAAAATTACAAAACCCTGTAACCAGCTCTTTCAAATCAAAGAAGGACTGTTAAGCATTATGGTTGAGATTTCAAATTTGATGACCTTGACTAGATGTTCCGCACTTTTACAATTTTGAGTAAGCATTATGGTTGAGATTTCAAATTTGATGACCTTGACTAGATGTTCCGCACTTTTACAATTTTGAGTGAAAAGCCTTGCATTCCTCTCTTGCCATAGGATGTATATTGATGCCATCAGTGCTAATCTTCTGAGCTGTGCTTGTATTCCTTTGCCTCTTGATCTTGTGAACCAGTTCAACAGCAATCTCAAATTGCATGATTTCCACCGAAAATTTAACCAGTCCATGATAGAGTTCCATATATAGCAAGAGAAGTTACATTCAAAAAATAAATGGTCCCTCGATTCCATTCTAGCACCTGAGCATAAGCAGCATGAATTTGCACTGATGATCCCCCTCTTTATCAGTCTATCTTGTGTAAGGTGTCTGTTTTGAACCACCAACCAACTGATAAAAGAATGTTTTGGAACATTCAGTCCCCTCCCAAACAGTTTTATGCCATGGGACTAAGTTTGTTTCAGGGGAGAGTTTCCTATACAATGCTGAAAGTTTTAGCTTTGAATTAATATAGCATGACCTGATAAGATTTGTCACATTGTCAGCACCTCCAAATTCATTCAGCACTTTATCCCTTGTTTTGATCACTTGCTTCCACATCCATGAGTCATCTGGTTTTGCTCTAACTTGCCATATATTTCCATGTTTAAGATATTTTCCATGGATCCATTTGATCCAAAGTGACTCCTTATTGGTGTGTATGAACCATATGCTTCTTAATGCTGAAGCAATGTTCCAGATTTGAGCTGAAAAGATCCCCAAGCCACCTTGATTCATCCCTAAGCATACTTTATCCCAGGACACAAGAGGACTCATGGAGGTTTGATCAGTTGCACCCCATAGAAATTTCCTACAAATCTCATCAATTTTGTGAAGTACCTTTACAGGTAAGATGTAGTTTGATGTCCAGTAGATTAGCACTCCAAGAATTACACTTTTTATAACTTGCAACCTGCCTGCATAAGATAATTTTCTGTTCTTGGTCCAGTTCATGAATTGACCTGTGAACTGCAATCCATGAATGAAAGCCTTATAAGCTAGATTTTTAGTTTAAACTAAGTTATAGTATACTTCGAGCCCATCATTGTCTATTTCTGAACTTCTAATTTTGGAAGATTTATGTTGTAATTGGACATATACATTTTAGCACTTCTTGTCTATCATTATACTTGATCATGAAAACTATACATTGGCTAGGAAAAATCTTAAGCTTGGAATTTATGTACAAAAAATTCCCTTGAAAAAGTGATATTCGTGCATTTAATAATTGTAATTGCACTATTTTTGTTTTTAATTGCCTTTGAAATGTTTAAGTTGCATAAGAACTCAATGGACTCACATATCCTTACAAAATATTGTAAAGTTTTAGTAGTTTTTGCTAGAAAGGGAGTATGTTAAGTGTTTTGAATGAATTTCTTATGAGAGAAATAGTATAGGAAAGTGTGAAGCATTTAATATTTACGTAGAATTACGAATTTACCCTCACTGTCATGTCTTTTAGGGAATGAAGGACGACTTCCTCCCTTTTTTTGGTCAATGAAAAAATTTTATTCATTCACCAAATATGAAAATTTTATATACATCATGATGCTCAGACATTGCTATAAAGAGAAAACTAAGCCTCAAGATATAGTGGGCAAACAATCCCTCTTAGCAAATAAAGGACTATTGAGGATGGTGATTAGAATGTCAATTTTGATCTCTCTAACCAATTGATCTACACTTCTATTCTTCTGCTGGAAAATATTCATGTTGCACTCCCACCAAATATAGTAGATTGTAGTAGTTAGTGCCATTCTTTTTTATTTTTGTTTGCAACTTTTTCCTCTCAACCTGTTAGTGTACCAATTTAAAAGATGAATCCAGTTGCAGGATCTCCAATTGAACCCCAGCCAATCCGTGATATTATTCCAAACTCCACTCGAAAAACTGCATTCAAAGAACAGATGGTTTCTGTTCTCATAACTTGAACCATAGCAAAGACAACATGAATTTGTGATTATAATCCCCCTCCTAAACAGTCTGTCCTGCGTGAGGAGCCTGTCTTGGATTGCTAACCAGCTTACAAAAGAGTGTTTAGCTAGGAATATTCAGTCTCTCCCATACTGAATTGAACCATGGCACACACTCTGTTGTAAAGGATAGAGCATTGTACAGAGCTGACAGCTTCAGTTTTCCATTTCATTCTACCTACATCAATCGAGTGCCTTTGATTCACCAAATGTTCTGTTTCATTGAACAAAGGGTGTACGAGTAGAACACGGCAACAAGAAAAAAGAGGTTCTTACATCGAGAACTCGAGCAGCAGAGGTTCACAATCTCTCTGAACGGGTGAACATCTTTGACTACAAAATGTTTATAACCATCAGCTTATGTATTGAATTCATTCCTAAAATAATCATTATCAAAATTATATGCTCCTTGTGAAGAGACGCAGAGATAAAATAAATGAGAAGATGAAGGCCTTGCAAGAACTCATACCCAGATGCAATAAGGTCAATTATCGGACAACCTTGATATATTTACAGGCTTAATTCTGGATAGTGTATAGTTTCCACTTCATTTCTTCTTCTTTTTTAATTTCAGTCAGATAAAGCCTCAATGTTGGATGATGCAATTGAGTACCTGAAGTCACTTCAATTGCAAGTGCAGGTTATATCTTGAATTCTGCAATTTTCTATTTTGGCTAATGGCATTCCATGCTTCAGCATTTAAGCACCAACTTTGGATCTCAAGGCAATACATATTAGTTTAGCGTATGTAATATATTGGATTGGCATAATTGAAGAGCGTGCTTGCGTGCGTGTGTGGTTATTTAAGCAACGTCCTTCCCAAGAATTTGTCAATGCACCGTGTTTTTAGTGTTTTTCGGTCCAAATATGATAACTGATGACTGTAGAAGATATTTCTGATGATCTTTTCCTATTTAAAAGATGAAATTAAAGTTACATTCTGAGTTGTAATTTATTGCTGTAATATATTGTTTACATCTTGATTTGATCTTTTAATAGTGTGTGTGGTGCATGCGTCTATGTGTAAACTGGTATGAGATTCATTTGGTCTTTTAATGGAGCATGTGCGGTGCGTGGATGTAGGTGTAAAAATTGGTATGAAGTCACAGTTGAGTTTACTCATGAGCAACCCTAGTAGTGAGGCTAATCCGACTACTCACATCAGAGCAGGTGGACCTAGCTAATCATTTGTATCTTCATGAACTCAGTAGTTTTGGTTCAAAGATCATAAACTCAGTAGTTGTGTTTCAAAGATGATTATGTCACAATCTGCTTCTTGATCTTCTTAATTAACACGTAACTTATCGTTGGGTGGAAAGACGTATGAATACCCTTGATACATCGGATTTGTTTATGTTTTCTTTGGAGTGTTAATTATTTGTTGATGAGATCCTCGTAACATCAATTTCGCTGCAGATGTTATCATCAATGCAATACAACATGGGTCACATGATGTTCCCAGACATGCAAAGGTACATGCAGACTCTGGGATTCATGGGCATGAGCATGGCCATGGCTTCAGGAGGCATACAACGTCCAATGATGTCATTCGCACCGATCCTTCCTTATCCCCCCGTAATTGCAACACCGCCACCTAATCCACAACCACGACCAGTGCCATCCTTCCATCTGGCAAATGCTGTTATTCCAGACCAAGTAAGAACTGAAGCATCCAACCAGCAAGACGCAGCATCAAATTCTATCAACTTGATGAACCCTAATATGGTGCAGGTCCCAAATTTTGCAAATCCTTATCATCATTTTGCTCCCATTCATCATTTCTGAGTACCATGACCGGTGTGTATATGTTCCTATAGTATTCTTCTATTTTATGTTATTGTGGATGTTGTGGTGTTGATATAGGAAAATAATCAAAAGGAGAGGGTGACATCTGACATGTCACGAATCTTAATACTTGGTGTGTATTACTGTAGTTCAGTCATTGTTGTCTAGCAATGTGGATGTGACTGCTCTAATAGTGATTGTACCGAGAGGTGGGTGACTGCATGCACTGATACTGGTTTCATAGTTATGTCAAGTGTCATCCTAACCTCCCTCCTTATTTGATGTTTTAAGATTATTTTATCCCGGATATAGTCATTCTTACAAAAAAAAAGGAAAAACAGTTTGAAATACTTGGTCATTTTATGTTATTCAAACCAGTGACTAGGTTGTAGGATGTGATATTTTTCTCATCTAAGAAAACCATGGAAATCCCAACATCTTATAAATTAATATAGCTGCTGTTGTTTTTTCCTCAGAAGATAATTTGCTTAACCAAAAGTTAGTTCCACCTTCAGTTCATCATGTTAAGCCTTTGCTTAGTAAGTTTCATTGTTACCATATTAAATTCGTATATCAACATATATATCCTTTTGATTATTGTACAGGATCATATTCTGGCTAAATCTGGAAAAATCAAGGGTACTGATAACACTAGAGATTAGACAGGTAGCTAATGATTAATCAGACAGTATATCATTTTCTATAATGTGCAAGTCAGGAAAATCCGTTTTCTATACCATAGTGGTTTTCTATAAATTTCCAATTGTTGTTCTAAATTTGCGGCAATTGTTATTGCATCTATCAAAGATCCTCAATATTGAAGATCTCTTGCTGCTTTGTTCTTGAGTCTTGATAGTAACTGATATGCTTGTAGTAATCTTTTCTAGCGATAGTAGTGAAAAAAAAATGGAAATGTATCCAGGCTGATCCTCAAATTTATCCTATGGATTGCAGGTTAAATGACAGTTCGGATCTGTTGTCTGCAGCTGATCGATAAAGTTTTGTAGAGTAGACAAGAGGGGTTGCTGACAAGATCACAGCGGTTGAGGTTAATCTTAATAGTATTTCAGAACAAGTCTATTGATATTATATGTTAACATAAACATTTTATTATATAACTAAGGTTGTTTTATTTTCCTCCTGCGAATATAAGGAAGATATATTTTAGAATGCAGTCTTCTCTTGTTTATTTTCCATGTGTGGTTTGATTTTGGGTTGTGTTCAATGTCAATAATATTTTTAAGTTTGTCTTTGTTGGATTTATTGGTCAAAACCGTTTTCCAAAATAAATTATCAAACTATATATTTACTAAAGTATTTTTCAGAAATCCTTAGTAACGTAGTGAAAGTAAAAGTTTTGGTGTTTCAAAAGATCCTCAGTTCGAGGCTTGCCGTAGGCAAGCCGAGAATTGTTTTGTCTTAAATAAATTAATTAATCCCTCATAAATATTAGTGGGTCGTGGGCCAATGGGCTGGGGATCGGGGCTGAGGCGTTAAGTGACGCTTTGTAAGGCGCACTTTGCACTTCGTATAGAGACATCGGGGCTAGGTGGCGCTACGCAGGCTGCTTCGCAGAATGCGGACGATCCTCGCGTTCGCGAGGCGTGACGCGACCCTCGCGTTCGCGCGAGGGTGCGACCCTCGCATTCGCAAGACGCGACGTGACCCTCGCGTTGCGTAGAAATGCGACCCTTGCTAGCCTCACGTTCAGGCGTTACTATATGTAGCAGTTACAGCAATTAAGTCATTTGCTATTACAATCATAATTATCATTATGATTTGTAACAGTCATATTGATTGTGAATGACCCTTGAGCTAGCTTTAGAGGCCTATAAATAGTGCCCCTTTGGGGCAGCTCTTAGATGTATGCAAACACACTAAAGTGTTGAAAAACTTGAACAGTTTGAATCTGTTAAGCTATTGTGTTGCTGCTGTAGAGTTTAAAAGCGTGCAAGCTTTAGCCTGTGCCCAAAGGAACATAGCCCTGAATCGAAAGGTTTTAACCGAAAGGTCTTGAACCAAAATGTTTTAACAAATCAAGGATATCGTTGCCTTGACGGAAATGTTTTAAAACCTCTTCTTCAAGGGAAGTCAATTCTCAATGCTCTTCGTAAGATACTTCTCATTGAGTGTTTCCCACAATCTTTTTGCCGACGTCTCGTTCATCACGTCATAAATAAGATCCGGCGTCAAGCATGACCGAAGAACTCCACAAGCTCTACTATTCATCTTTTTTCAAACTTTATCCTCCATATCAGCTGGTTTCTCTTATAATTCAAGAGTCTTCTTCAAATTCTGTGCATGCAATGCATCCATCACCTGACACCTCCACAAACTGAAATTGATCTTGCCATAGAACTTCGGAACATCAATCTTCGTATTATTGATGCTTAGACTCTGTATCGTATTCGTAAGAGGCGAACCTGATGTGCTTGCATCTCCCATGTTGTCAATCTAACTCTCCAAATAAGAATCCTTCAGCAAATCCTTTGAATAAGCCTCAATCCAAACCTGAAGCTCTGATACCACTTGTTGTGCGCAGCGGAACTCTAATCACACAAACAAGAACAAGGTAGATCACAACTAAACACAAGCACAAATCACAATCACAGTAAGACAACGAATTTTACGTGGTTCGACAAGTTGCCTACGTTCACAGGACAATGAGGGGGGTTCTTACTATTAGAGATGAAGAGAATACAAAATAGGGTTACAAAATCACTCGAAATCCTAAAACAAATCTTTCTAAATCTCTCACAAATCTCCCACAACTGGATGCAACAATCATCTCTCAAATTAAGACTGCTCAAAACGTCATTGCTTAACCCTAATTAATCATGTTTAGGGTAATATACAAACAGCAAACGAAACGGGTTAAAAACCCAAAGCACAGCTCAGACCCGAGTCGTGGTCAACCGTCGCGGTCGACTGCAAGGCAACGATAGAAACCAAAAATCCTACAGGGTTTGGCCGGTCGACCGCACGTGACGCCGCGGTCGACTGCCAAAAGTCCAGAGACCTCCCAGGTCTCGTGCACGTTTCTGGTCGACCGCAGCTGATCTCGCGATCAACCGCGAAGCTTCCTGACAGTTTTTCTGTCGTTTTTCCTGAGCTTTCTTCAACTGTTCGCCAATCCTTCAGATTCTAGGCGTTTCTAGAGAAGAGGGAGGGAAAAGGTCTTGGAAAAGAGGGAATCCTAACCGGCTGCGCACGCTTGGAAACGTGCGGAGTAGAGGTGGTGCTTGGAATGAAGGAAGTGGGCCTGAGTGGAGGTGATTTGATTTGGTTTGGCGGATGCCAAAAGCCACTGCTTATCTTCAGGGTGAACAGGAGGATGCTCACCAAAATGCCCGCCGAGACGACGCCTCCTGCTCCGCTCCATTTCGCTTAACCGTCTGTTCATCTTTGCCCCAAAATAAAAAATAGAAAAATAGAAAAATAGAAAAAACATTGAACACAAGAGGTTAATTATTACGAAATCTCCTTTTAAGTTCAGTCACTTATTAGGACCCTAGCTTTACCTTCCCATTACCCTCCTGAAGTTAAAAAAATCAGTTAAAATCTATTACTAGAAACGTGATCATGAATTTCAGAAAATAAACTAATCACTTAAATCAAACAAAACATAAAATTGTTAAACTGAAACTTTCTAATATTTCTTGTTGAAGATTTTATGTTTATTGCTTATTTCTTTTACACACAACTTTGTATCATTTGTCATAACCAGATATGGATATGTTTTTAGTGAAGGAAAAGGGATGCAGAAAATTAAAAGTTTAGCTAGTCGGACCAATGACAATTAAATCTTTGCGAACTATACACAAATATGATGTAGAAAATTGAAATTTGAGGCAACTCACTTGCCCTACCTCAAGGGTATAAATCTATGTACGATCATTTCCTGCCACCATAACTAGTAGAACACCAAATGAAACAAGCTGCTCCTCGTATATACCAATCCTGGCATGAAAATGAAAACCAAGTTGCTAGCAAATACGAGGAAAGTAAGTTACAAGTCCAAGTCACAGATTTTGAATAACTATTAACTAGCTTGAACTCATAATTAAAATCTGGGCTAACTTAAGGTTAAATAGTAAATCATGACCCTCCAAAAAAAAGTTGTACTGGAAATTAGAAGCAATAATAATAATGTAAAAAACAAGTCCGTCCGAAATTTGTTTCATCAACATTCTATTATTACAGCACAAAATACAAAACAACAGCTCCAAGTCCAACCACAGCAACATTCATTTTGAACAAAACACCATGCCGATGATACCAGTACACTGTTACGTTTATGCCACCAGGAAAACATAACAGAAAACAGAAGTACAATAACTTCAAAATAGAAAAAGATCAAATTCAATCAAGTAGTCCCCTCTGCATTATTCCCCAGCATTGAGGTGATCGAGAACTTTATCAAGATCACACCAAACCGAAATCGAGAAAGGTATCCTTCACTAAGATCAGGAGGAGAACCTTTAAATATATCAAAACCCATTTCCTTGTAACTTCCTGATGAACGTAGTCGAGGAAAATCTCCTTGAAGAACCCATATATTTGCCAGTACACAGACAGAACCAGAAGAGAAGTTGTTAGCGATGATTTTGATAATGAGAATCAACAGGAATGAGAGCAATGTCATCTTTTGTGAGAGCTCATTTCTCTTGATCTTCAAGCTTTCATTTCCCAATCCACTGCTCCTTGGCTTGATAGACACTGCTTCCAATGGACTGAAACAAGTGACTTCCTTTTCACTAGCACGTTCGACCTTTCCATCATAAATCAGAGAATTTTATAAGGTTGAGATCAAGGAAATACCCAGCAAAACAGATTCAAAGACAACTCATAACAACTTGGAATTGAGAAGTACCTTTTCAGCAAGAGATTTCTGAGAGGTGGATTCGCCCTGTGGGTTCACAGAAAACCAGCGAGGTAGAGTTTTCTCATATCCCAAAATCTGCTAAAAGCATGAGAATTAGAAAATGAATGAAACAAGAAACAGCAAGCAACAAGTATAGCTTTAACGTTACACGACAAACAGATTCGAGCCTGAAACAAATGATTTAATGGCAGCAATTAGTACTCGTTCCAGTTTTTGCACAAGCCCGTTCCTAAGCAATAATACTCTAAAATAGACTTCATTTGCATGTGATTAACTTTCACTTTATTTTCCCATTGAAGGGTTCTCCCAAGTGTGATTTATGTAGAGCACATACATGATATACAAGGTAATATCAGCCAATAACCATGGTGGCCCCTCAATTTTTTCTTTATGAAAAAATCAGTTAATCAAAAGCACCCTGCTGGTTTAAAATAATGTAGGAAAGAACAAGTTGACTCCCTTCAAAACAAAGACCAAATAAAACTTAATGAACAGTCACCCAAGCCAAGTACAACAAGACAGAAAACATGTGCCATAAAGATGTGAGATCGAGGGCCACCAAAAATGTGAAAACATATATGCACAAGCACTCTAGCTTACAGGACCAAAGTTACGAATGGCCACCTGACATAGAGATTACTTTTACGTGAAAAAACTTCCAATGCAGGAAATATTGCATATACCAAGTAGATACAGATCTCCACCATCATAATAATGTATGAGCTTTTCGCAATACAACATGTTTAGGCAGGGAAATAATTCTAAATTCTTAATGTGATGAAAATCTACAACTTGTTGATACTCTTCCGCTAAACTAGTTAGTAGTTTCCACTCAAAGCTAAGGAAATCCCTAGACAAGAAGGATTAATTAAGGCCTAGTGAGGCAGTGGCCTGTAGGAGAATTAATCTAATTAAAGTTGCTGTTTAGGCTAAATGCAAGCAATGAAAAGCTATCCATACACCAAAGGAACCATATAAACAAACTTCGGCTCTAGTCTCCAAAGAGAAATACATAAAACTCTTGAAAGAAGTTCACGAGTTTTCTTCATTTGTAACCTATATCAGTTCATGTATTTTAGGTTTTTATTACACAAGACTGTAAAATGCTATCAAAACGACAAAAATATGATGTTTTCTTTAAAAAAAAGTTAGTAACTTTGTTTATATGAGAATGGAGCTTCCATCTTACCTTGTTTTTTTTACATATGATTATAATAGTGTTCTTGTCTGGTTTTTTTCTCATTATGGACCTACGGCTCAATATAATGGAATCCTGCCATTTATAAAGGCTATAGCTTAGGCTACAGATTAAGTTTATGAATCTTATAGACAAGCTAATGGAGTTATGAAATATGTAATAATTACAATAGTATGTGAAGCTTTGGTGCAACACCACATTCCTCAATCTCTCTTCCACTTACTGCTTTAGTTCATTTCTCAAAGGATGTTGATGCTTTATCACTTAATGACTTGTATATTTAATCAAAGAGATTAATCTATTCCCCCCACTACATAATGTTCCGCTAGAAAGCAACAGAGATATAAATCTTAATATTGAAATTTTAACAAAAAAAAATTTGGAAGTGAATAAATGGACAGGAAACATTATGTGGAAGGTATTTAATCAGCATTTGTCTTCAACAAACAAGATAATAGATGCTTATAAACAAGGTTTTAAATAGCGGATATTGAGGAAATATCAGATAGCCAAAATTCATATCAAATTACGGTTAATCTGATATTGGAGAAATATCGGGGATATGTGGTAAATATTTGAATGCCATAACGGATGTTTGCATGTATAGTATAATGCACTAAAATGTAATCTCAACATACTTAATGGAATCCAAGCATACAAAATGTAAATAATATATGTTTAGGATCTAATCAACCTTGTAAAACAAATAAAATTACAAATCAATGTCACAACATTTCATCTGATTTTTTAGGCTAAAATATCATTTGATATAATAGGAAAATCATGATTCGCCTAAACAAACGCGGTATATTGTTTTGCGACAAGACATATAAAAGGATATATTGGCCAACATATCGATTGATATATCGGCCATATCAGGGATATGTCGCCCAAAATAGCTCAAAAACGGTAAAGAATACTTAGCAAGCCATGTAAAAGCATATATCGGGCGATATATCAGGGATATTTAAAATAATGATTATAAAAGCATCCAACTTAACGCAAAATAGTAATATCATCATTGCAGCAATATGATGAGCCAGCACATATATATGCAGCAGTATGATCCTTACAGGTTGCGTCCAAGATGATAAACCTACCTAAATAGAAACTCCTTTATTATAAGTTTCCTAACCTAAATCATTACAGAGTAATCATTATTATAAGTTTCCTAACCTAAATCATTACAAAGTAATCTATTGAATAATGATCCATAATGTCAACAAGCACATAATTCTTGAGAATCTAGAGATTCGGCAAACTTTTCCAATCTACCATAGCCACAAGACCATTGATTGTAGGCAGGTCAATTGTGCACCTAAGCTTGGAATGAGGGAGGTCAACCCACGTCTCAAAAAAAAAGTACAAGATGGGAAAGAAACACAAAATTCCATAAAGCATAATAAAGTACACTAGCATCTGAAACTCAACATTGACATAAGTCACATACTACTGAGAATCTTAGTGTAAGTCTCTATGAAATGATTATAAGAAACTATGGTTATTAAACAAACCACGAAGGACATATTTTTGGAGGCTAAATTGTACGATCATTTACCTGATAACCAAACAATCAGCGTATAATAATATTTTCTTTTCATACTACTGTGTCATTTACTGATGAAAAATCTATAACATACTACTGTGTCATTTACTGATGACAAATCTATAACACAACAAAATGACCTTCATAAATACTCTCTATCTTTTAACCAAATCATCAATGAAATAAAAATATGTGTAACCGAAACACCCAATTGAGGTTCAAAAACAAGAATTTCAACTTCCCATCAAAAGCTATGGAATAGATGACCAATCAAATAACATTTAAACCAAAAGCCCTAAGCTGGCACAAGGGGGGAAAATGTAATTTTTGATTTCCTAGTTATCACCCCTAAGTTCACAAGGGGAAGGGGGTTTGTATGCAATTTATTATTCTAAATTTACCAATCTAGGGTGCTAAGTGCTAATAAGATAGTTGAGGATGATAGGTAAGGGAGTTATCTGTGATTTACCGAAGAGAAAGTAGTTGTACCATTTTGGAGCCAAGGATGGAGGGGATCGCCGGAGACTCGGAAGCGGCGGCGAGATCGGGCCGGAGAAGGGACCGAGACGAAGGAGAGGGCTGGTACGATCCGAGATCGAGCGGAGCGGTCAGCGAATGAAGAGGACGCAGAGATTGCGAGGGTCGATTGATGAAGGTTCGGTTTAGGGCTAGGGTTTTGGATCGGGCAAGGAGACGAGTCGCCATGATCGATCCTCCCAGAGAGAAGCGAGGAGAGAGAGAGAGAGAGAGAGAGAGCAATGCTCGTTGAGGGAAGAAAGAGAAATTGTGGGTTATTGAGATGGGCCGGATTAGAGATGGACTGTTTTGCTACAACCTGGGCCTTGGTGAACTATAAATACAAAAATTACAGGAAATTTCTCATTTATTGAGAAAAACAATAAAATGTTTTCTTTTTCTATTCAATATGGGATGGGGGTATTTTCTCAAGAAATGGATCACGTGCTAGCAATACGCTTATGTTTCATTAAGAACCTTAAAAAAATAGATGAAAGACCCACCTGAAGCGATCTGGACGGTTAGGAGTAGCAGTGGAAACGAATCAAATAGTTAACAAATAGTTTGATAGTTATTCGCTTGGGTATTTGGTCATATTTGATTCGATAGTTCATTTAACAATAAACAAATAGTGCTTATTACTATGAGTAGAAATTAATCATAGGTATATTCAAACCCTCTCTTACATACATTGAGTTTTGAAATTTTTATATTCCTATTCTCTAGGGTTTGTGGCGTCTTGCTTGCACGAGAACGAGTTGCATCATTTCGATTATCCTTCCGCTTCATCAGGTTCAAACCCCTCTCTTACATACACTTGAACGAACAGTAGGGAGCAATTCAGTTCCGGCTTCGACCCGCAGCGTGACCGTATCGCCCCACTTTTTTCTCATGAATACATAGAAGCTCATTTAACAAAAAGATTACCCTTCATAAAACAACTAACACAATTAGCAACAAATAAGACTTGAACAAATGATTCCGTCAACAAAGAAACATGAGCAAGTGATACTTTTAAACACGTGTTCGCAAACGATACTCAGTATACCAATAATCTGCCGCAGACTTGGGCAAATCGTACCTACAAATAAGGAGGACGATTGATAATAAAGCCAAAAAACTCACATGCAGATGAAAACACGATCGCAGCTTCAAGAGCATCATCACACAACAATACCTGCACATCGTCTACTGTTTGATTTTATAGAATTTTGTACCACAGCCCATCATGGAAATAATCATGGCAGGCCTCTCTTACAAGGCAGCATATAGCGAAAATATTCCTCAAAAACCATCCTTCGTGTAAGAAAGACTTTGCTTTCAACGCAAAAAGAAACTTGCATGCTGCCAGTGATTAGACATGAAAAGACTGTAAACCAAAAAAAAAATCATCTTCCTAGTCCTAAATTATATGCTTGAGTTTGTATGGGAAAATTGAAACTAAGCGTCTTCTTCGTTGTTAGCAAGGTCCACAACGACAGCCTCAGTGGTTGTCATCAAGGAGGAAACACTGCAAGAAAATAAATAAGAAAGGTAAGAAACATCGAGAACATCAAACTAAAAGGTACTAACTAGGCATCAACCAGACAGACGTTAGCCTGTAACTGTATTAAGCTATAATAGAATTAAGACAAGCAACAACATTTTATAACGTGATTCATAGCACAAGGGAATAGGACACATGAGAGTTAATTCCCTCTCAACATAAACTGGAGTAATGCTCGGTGCCTAAAATGTAGGTCCAGAAAGGAAAGCAGCAGTGCAAAGGCAAAGTTACTTAGCTAATTTGGTTCAGAAGTACGTAAGAATTATTTGAAGAGCTTATCATGCTCACTGGAATATTTATTTAACCAGGTGGGTTATATTGTTCCGCCAAAATACAGAGAAATTTTTAAGATTTAAGAATTAGGGATTACCTAGCAGCATCCACCAATGCAGTTCTAATTACTTTCAAAGGGTCAATGATGCCTGCCTTTACCATGTCAACATATTCACCTGCAAACATTGACCAGAAAAATAAAAGAGTGAGAATACGATGGCAATAATTCCAAGAACATTTGGCCATGTATTTCTCAAACAGAGGCATTATTATAACACACCTTTAGCTGCATCATAACCAAGATCGGGATTATCCTGTTCTAAAAGCTTGCCTACGATGACAGCTCCCTCGACTCCTGCATTTGATGCAATTGTGTGCACTGGAGTCTGCAAGAGAGCAGAACAAGTATATCATATTTAAAATAGAGCAAATAAGAACCAAGATAGATAAAACCAAAACTATCATGCAAAATTGGTCTGAACCTTCAGAGCATCCTGGATAATTTGAACTCCAATCTTCTGATCGAAGTTGGCAGTGTGCAACTTATCTAGCTCCTTGGATGCATACAGAAGGGCAACACCACCACCTACGAAAGAAAATTATACACTCAGGTTTTCCTAATAAAGAAGAGAGTACGTAAAGCATAGCGGCACACTAAGATACCTGGCACAATTCCTTCTTCAACAGCAGCTTTGGTTGCATTTAGAGCATCATTTACTCTATCCTTTTTCTCACCGACTTCTGCTTCACTGGCTCCTCCAATCTGCAAAATTCGACAGCATAAACAATTATTACTAAAACAACTATGACAATAACACATCACCTTTCTGGAATTGCCAGAGCTTGTTTTACGAGAGTAGACTAAAGGTGATATAGCCCGATTTCCAACTGAGGAAGAAAGGACTTCTCTAATTTCTGCTCAAGTGAGCTGTCAATTCATCTCCTAAAATGTTCAAATACAAGTTGTGATGAAATTAATGAATACTACATGACTGGTTGTTTCCCATGTCAATGTATCAAGCTGTATCAGTTAATTAGATCTCACCAAGTACCTTTAGGACGGCTACTCCACCAGAAAGCTTTGCCAACCTCTCTTGTAGCTTCTCTTTGTCATAGTCAGAAGTGCTTGCATCGATTGCAGACCTTATCTGTCACAGAAGGATAGATCCATGAACATTATACTACCAATTATACACGGGAATAAAGAATTCATGAAGTGGGGTAAACAAGACAAACTTGATCACATCTCTCTTCAATGGCTTTCTTGTCGCCCGCCCCATCAAGAATAACAGTACCATCTTTTGATATTGTCACCTGCAGTTCATTTAAAATTCGTTAAAGAACATCGAAACAGATTAGCGAAATACATCTACATATCCTGACAGAGATTGTCAACTGCATTATGAACTATCATTGTCTACACTGTTCAAATTACAAAAAACTCCTCAAAAACTGCCACCGTAACTTAATCTTAAAGCCTACAAGGCTAATATACACAACAGAGTAAAAGGTATTCCTTGGTTCCTAGCTACACAGGCACACAAAGAAAATTTGACATATGGTCTACAGACTATAGATTTACCTTAAAGATTTGCATAACACATTTGAGATCAACAAAAAAAAATTTAACATTGCATAAGAATATCTCACCTTCTTACAGGTACCAAGCATGTCAAATTCAACTTTCTCCAGATTCATGCCAAGCTCCTCAGTAATGAGCTACAATGTACAAGAAATAAGTAATGGGTGTGCATGATAATCTTAATCAGACATAGAATGAAACTCATATTGTGAATGATAATCTAAATCATGACAAAATATCAACATTTGAAAATTCAACTCACATCTCCCCCGGTCAGAACAGCAAGATCATGCAAAGCATGCTTCCTATTTTCCCCGAATCCAGGTGCTTTAACAGCACAAACCTACAGTGTTGGAATCTGATTAGAATACCATAAAACTGCTCCTAAATCGTAAACTATGTTAATTGAATTAAGGAAATTTTATATTTCATTTTAAAAGAACAGAACCTTAATTCCAATACGAAGCTTGTTAAGGATAAGAGTTGCAAGTGCATCACTGTCAACGTCTTCAGCAACAATAAGCAATGGCTTTTGTCTCTGGACACACATTAGAGAGACAAATATTAATAAAAGATCAATCCAATTATTAGCACATGATTATTCCACAATCATAGTAAGCTGAATGACGAAAAAAGCTCATGTACCTTTAGCGCTAACTCCAGCACCTTCAACACTGAAGCAACGCTAGAAATTTTTTTCTCATATATCAAAATGAAAGGATCGTCCAGTTCCTGTTAAAAATCGCAAAGGGAAAGAAGATTAGCTAAATTATATTATCCATGAAGCACTAAGATGTGTGTTTGATTTGTCAAAGGTAGTTTCTTACACATTTCTGGTTCTTCTGGTTGGTGATGAAGTGAGGTGATATATATCCTCTGTCAAGTTTCATACCTTGAATGACTTCCAATTCATTGTAAAGTGTTTTCCCATCCTATCGACAGAAAGGTTATGTTAGATATGTAGTATACTACACATGTCAGTAATGAGGATTCAGCCTTTCATAAACAAACAAGGAAGAAGACAAAAGTGACAACACGTCCAAATTCCTCAATTTTCAAAAACATGCAGGAGAAACAAATGAAAATTCAAAAGGTCAAAACCAAACTAAATACAAGTCTGTCATACTTGTGGAGCAAGCAATTTATGGAGTTTAATGGAAATGGTCAAAACAAAAAATATATACATAACAAACATAAGCATGAAAAGATCTACAGCTACAAGCCTACAACATACATAGGGCATATATCTCTGATCTAAACCAACCCCTTAAAGAAGATACTTTCTTAGGGGAAAATGAAGAATATAAGTCAAAGAAACTTAAGAATTAAGATTGTATGAACTCGTACAAAGGAGACAAGGATAATGTCCACATAAGAAAACAAGTACAACAAGCTCATGAGCAATAACAAAACCATTTTTAAGAACCATGGATAGCAAGAAAAACATGAAAACATGACTCACCAGGGAGCATACCACAAAGTCATTTAATATAAGTAAATTAGGATGGAACAGAAAAAGAATTATTATCTTCAACAGTGCCGATTCGTGTGACCCACTACAGTCAAGTGAACTAAAACATGACTTACATGCACAATACACTACATGAATTCTGCATTCATATCAACATCTAACGCATTTAGAACTGTATAACACACATAGATTTTCACTTACTTGAATGGTAATGACTCCCTCCTTGCCAACTTTCTCCATAGCCTTAGCAATGAGTTCTCCAATTTCTCTTTCTCCATTAGCGGATATGGTGCCAACCTATAAATAAAATGAAAACATACATTTAATCTTACGCAAAATGTACGGTATGAATAAACATTTCTAATTTCTGAGTTCATAGGTGCGCAAATAAATAAATCAGATAAAGTTGAGGAAGAAATAACGGAATATGAGAGCTGGAAAGAACATAAAACATCAATTCACTCCTTCAAGACACTTAAGTTGTTTTACTACCTGTGCAATCTCTTCTGAAGTGCTGATCATTCTTGCCCTACTCTTCAAGTTTGTTACAACAGAATCTACTGCCATTGTGATACCACGCCTTAAATCCATTGCATTCATGCCAGCTGCCACGGACTTGCACCCTTCAGTAAATATTGCTTTGGTAAGGACTGTAGCACACGTAGTACCTACACAATAAGCATGAAGAATAATCAGCCAACTAGAAGTGAGAGCATGACAATTATGCAACTGGCAATCCCTGAAACAAATAACTCAGCACTTCATGTCATGCATGTCTACTACTCAAACATTTAACAGACAAGCACAGAACTGGTAAATTTCGCATTGAATTAGTATTTTTGTCAAACCTTTAAATTAGTTAGGACTAAAATAAAAATTATACAAGAAAATCATGCCTCAATATCACATTTATTGTTTCCGTTGTCGTACCTTTATCAATGTTTATGTAGTAATAAAAACCAAACAATTTGAAGTGCATAATAACACCCACTATAATCACCACTAAATGATTAAGCACTATCCTAATGACTTGGTGCATGCTAATAATTAGTTGGTTAATGCATATGCATGTAGGTCCCAAGCCATGAACACCACGAGTTTTGTACAGACAAGTCTACACCACTTAGCACTACCACAGCAACATCAATGGTACAGTAAATAAAGACAGCTTGTTTCTTTCTTTTTTTTTACTTAGCAGATGCTAGCTGGTAATAAGTCAAATGCTGTAAATTTATATACTTTTACAATTTTATAATATTTAAGAAGTGATAAGAGCTATTAAAAGATGACAAAATACCGTGCTATTCCACATGCAATAGATGAAAAGTTTCCTACAAAGATGTGTGCTCCGTTACGATCTTTAAATTTATCAGAATGTTTTAATGAATATTTGCAGCTACTCACAAAGTCACAATAAACTAAGATTTTTAAACACTCATCAAACTACAGACATTTGAGGCAATAAGCATACATACTTGGATAAATGATAATATAAAAACAGTTCAATCATATGTGAAATAGTTTATACTTTTTCTTTGGATTATTTAAACTTTTCTTTTGGGAAATGGGGGAAAATAGAAGCAAATAATTTCCACAAACAGTTTAAATAGTTAATAATAGAAAATAACTGATGACGAAATATATATGCCTTTCCCTGGGGGAAGGTAAGAACCTTAACCTTCTTTATGATGCATAAACATTTTTACAAGCTCTTGTAATCATCAAAGTTAAAAACAAAGGAACATGCATCTAGAAGGAATGGTAGGCTACAAGGTTAAGGATTTAGGAAGAATTATATTAAGGAGATGGACAATGGAGATAGAGATGAATCCAGCTTAGTAAGCTTTTAGATGACTTAACTAATAAAAAAATCATAGACACCAAAAAAAAAGTTAAGCGGAGAAATAAATTATTCAAAACTAACCACAAATATTAGATAGAATCTTGGAGAAACAAACTATGTCCCTAACCCAAGGCCACAGAGTAACTTAAAGAGAGTTTAGGAAAGCGATATTGCATGGAGAGAAAAGAACCCTTCAACATACTTCAAACAGACTGAAAAAAAAGAACCCTAAAACAAATAACATATGACGACTCAAATGTTGAATTCTCAGTCAAATTTGGAGACTGTACACAAAGATCACACTTCAATTACATGTATACATGAAAACAACTGGTGAAGCCTTCTTGTCCTAGTAAGAGCATTAGGGCAGTCGAGATACATGCTTAAATTTAACTGTGTTACAAATAATGAGGAACTTGGATGTTCCAAAATTATATAGCATCAATATTAAACAGTATATAACAAATATACCTAAATAAAGAATGTATTATTGTACAGTAGTGAAACATGAAACATACCATCACCGGCAACATCATTGGTTGCATTAGCAACCTGTTTCACCAAACTTGCACCCATATTCTTCACCCTGTTCTTGAATTCTATGCTCTTTGCAACAGTCACTCCATCCTTTGTAACTTTTGGTGCACCAAAGCTTTGCTCCAAAACAACATTACGGCCCTGCAAATGCAATGACACCCATGTAAAACTATAAATTGTCAAGACCCAAGAATAAGCGTATAACATGATTTGAGAATTGAGAGAACCATTTGTGTCGTAACTCTTTGCAAATCTATACCAATATACTTTTATTGGTACTTAACTAGAACAACTGCCCAAAGATATATCAACATTAGCTAGAAGGTAATTATAAATTGCAGTAAAGACTCAAAAACTAACTGCAATATGATTTGACAATTTACAGAATCATGAGCCGTAACCTATGTTGCCTTGGTACGGGTACGGGTACGGGTACGGGACACGGCAAATTTGTAAAAAATAGGGTACGGGGACACGGCTGTATGTATATAAAATAATTCTTTTTAGATCAATATTAAAGTAAATACCTATTACATTTTTTTTGTTATATAAAGTGGAGATTATAAATAAGAAACTAAAGGAAAGTGCATGTTGCAGGTGTGCATTAAGACGTCGGAATGACAATGATCTCTTTGAGAATTGAAGACAATAATGTTAAAGAAGACAAGAAAGAGAAGATGAACATATAGAAAAATAGATCAATTTTATGTTATATTATTATGTAACATTGATTTGTATAATTAATAGCAAATGTAAGTTAGTAACTGATTTGAAGATAATAGCAAATTCTAATTTTCATTACTTTCATCTTGAGCATATAAAAATACAAGTCTATCTCGCAAAAACGATAGTTAAAAATTACAAGCATACATTCACAAGTTAAAACTATACCCAAAATATTACAAGGATTACTCAAAAGGATTACTCAAAAAATTACAAATATTTTGTTTAAATGAAAGGTAAATATTACAAGTGTACAAAATATTACAACCCTAGCCCAAATTTTTATTTACAAATGCTACCCAATATAAATAGGTAAGAATGGGTTAGGGCTAGGTTTTCATTTTTCTAATTTGCTCCAAGCCGCCGCCTCACTCCAGACTTCTCTCCTCCTTCAGATCCGATGGCTTAGGGTTAGGGTTTTCACTTTTCTCCCTTTTCTCCTTTGCTCCAAGCCGCTGCCGCCTTCAGATCCGAGGCTCTTCTCTCCTCCTTCAGATCCGACTCCAAGTTGATTCTCCGTCGAAGCTGGCCTCGTCCCTCGAAGCTTGTCCAAGTCTCAGACCTCCGTCGAAGCTCGTCCAAGCCTCAGTCCTCCGTCGAAGCTGTCTCTGTCGAAGAATGGGTTACGGGCTGGTCTCCGTCGAAGCTGGTCTCCATCGAAGCTGTTCTTCCCTCCTTCAGGTTCGCAAATTTTCCCCTTACTCGTTGAATCCCCGTGTCCCTGCCGTTTGGGTGCGGATCCGTACCCAAACCGCACCCGACACGGGTACGGCACTCATTTTGCCGTGTCGGGGTAACATAGGCCGTAACTCAAGGTAAATCTATACCAATATACTTTAATTAATATTTAACTAACACAACTTGCCAGAACGGTTGCTTAGTAAATACACCCTGAAATAAATCAGTTTGAAATCAAAATTTTATTAATTTAAGAGTTAAAATACCCCAAAAACCTAACTCCGTCAGTTTTTGAACGATTAAAGGGGAAAATTCAGCTTAACAACTACTAGAATAATTAGGAATATTTCTCAATATACCTTTCTCTGGGTATTGTAACTCAATTTGGTAGCACTGGCTTAAACTAGCAAATATCTTGATTTTTTTCAAGTATGATTTGAAACCCAAACTAGAATAACCAACAAGTGGAACAAGCTTGCATATATTATGAATTATGAACACATGACGCGCAAACACACAAATAATAATAATAATAACGGGAAACTTCAATTGATGAACAGTAACAAAATAAAAGGTTAATGTGAGCAATACCTTTGGTCCCATGGTGACCTTTACAGCATCTGCAAGCTCTTCAACACCCCTAAGCATCAACGCTCGAGCCTCGACGCCAAACTTTATGTCCTTGGACGCATAATTCCTGCTCCAACCAAGCCTACTTCCGATCTATACACAAATCAACAATCAAAGATACAATCTTTTCCGCGTCCAACCAAAAACAAGTAAAAAATATCATAATAATCGGAAAAAAAACAAGAACTAAACACAACCCATTATAGCTCTAGCACTCACCTGTCGACTGCTGCTGCTTGCAGCCCTGAAAAAGGAGAAATCAAGAAAGAAAAATGAGTTATCCATCCAAAAAACTACAAAAATAGTAAGTTCCAAAACCCGAGATCGAAAACTAGAATGAATCAGAAATCTATGGGTTTCTACTCCATTGAACTTACCTAGCTTTGGAAGCAAGACTAGCCGCTGCACGATGCATGATGGTGATCGATTAGGGTTTCGAATTGAAGAGAAATTGAAATGTGGAATATAAAATTGTCGCTCGAGGCTTTTGTGGGTTTTTGGGTGAGAGCGATTCTTGTTGGGGAATAAGCGGGCCGGAAATGGCAAAATAGGAATGCTCTAGAAGCTCCCATTAGGGTTTAGGGTTTTAGTTTCAAATGACACAAGTACAAGAACTGGTTTTGTGGGCTTTACCGGGCTGTGGTTAGGCCTTGGGCTTTATTAGACCACATGACCTAGGTTTTTTACTTAACAGTAGAGTCTTTGTAACTATGCAAGTTTATGGACCAGTAATGGGCCGCCCCTTAAAAACAATCAGACGTATTCGGGCGGAGTGAGGATATTTTGATCGAGTATTTGGTTATATACTGGATTAATATAACTCAATCCAGAGATGCAATAATCCAACAGACTATAATCATTAGATTTTTAGTAATATGCTTAGCTCATTTTTTTATTAAATTTTTTAACACCTATGTTATATGTTTGGGAACTTGTGGTATAGGATTAGGATATGAAGTAAATGTCCATAATGTCCTTATGCTTGCCAAACATGACTAGCTAAATCAGTGACTTTTGACAGAGTTTCAGTACATTTCAAACTTCCCCCATTGTAAAAAGGAAAATGCTAGAGGCACACCCTTAAACCACACTCCTCTCTCGCTACAGTGCACTGGGGCCCACATGAGAATTTAAAAAAAAATCATGTGGGCCTCAGTGCACTGTAGCGAGAGAGAAGTGTGGCTAGGGGTGTGGTTTAAGGTGTGACTGTAGCGACTCTCTTGAAAAAACCACCTAGGAGGGACATAATAATTAGGGCTTTCTTTTTTTTTTCTTTTTTGGGGTGGTGGGGTTTGTTTGGGGGTTGTAAGAGTTGTCTTTTAGTATTCAACTCCAAGGCGAAAACAGTCCTTGGACTACAATAACACTTCCTCTCTCCACCTTTATTTAGTCCAAAAAAATTTTGGACCATTCAATTTTAATTTTAACAGATTAAAAGTTCGATTTTATCTCCCCCGAAATTTGTCCCTATTTTACTATAATGAATAGTGGCTTACTACCGGGCGAGAGCACCCAATCCAAACAATAGTCATATGGACTTCTAACTTTCCATGTTGGAAGTTTTTATTTTTTGTTATTTATTTATTTATTTATTTATTTATTTATTTTGGGTATGAGAAGGTCAGATGAGTTAAACTAGCACGATTTTTTTTTTTTTAAATGAGATCAGCTCTGGACTATTGTTAGTAAAAGGTGCGTATTCGTGTATGCATCAAGGAGCAGACAGAAGTATTCGATGAAATCCGACATTAATTTGACTCGTGAACGAGTGAATGTGACGTGGACTAGGCAGCAAAAGCATTCAATAGCCGAAAATTTAAGTTGGGGAATTTAACTTTTTTTTTTTTTTGATTTTCACGGTCTAGAAGTCATCTGGTAGTTGTCAAACAAGCTTGGAGTTAAACTCGAAGATGAAACCTTTAACATTCTTAATTTAAAAATGGACCTTAACTCCTAGTTTCTCATCATAAATAGATCGATAACCACTTCCATAAAATCATAACTTCCTAATTTTGGAATTTTGATAGTGGATTATGATAAGTGAAAGTACTTGTCAGATTTTATGAGACAGGAGAGCCGGGCTTAATATATGCATCGAAAATTGATGCCACGGTTTCGTTAACTTCCTGAACGCATATCTTAGATGACAAAGACCGAGTACTAAGTAGGAATTGTACATTATCTCAAAGAGTAGAGTTATGAGTATCAGAATTTAGTTGAAGATTTTGTAACTTGTTGTATGCTTGCAGTAAAACAAACTGTAGTTGATATTATTGACATAGTACCAAAAAAATTAAATAGCCTCCAAAGTGAGTTCAGAAGTGCAATTAATGGAGGCGATGCTTTATATATTCCACTTTTTCCGCAATAAAGAGAAGTCCAATATGGAGATAAAATGAGAATCATGAAGATACCAGGGATCATTTTGATAATCAATGGCTCGCCTGTTATAGGACAGCTGTTAGAAATTTTAAGAATATGAAATTGACTGGTTCCATCCCTTTGAACAGCTATAGGAGACAATCGATGCATACATTATATGTGCACATCCTATATGCGTATCTTAGATAATACACCGATAAAACTATCAAGGACTAAATACCAGGTTTCATATAGAACAGAATTTACCTGCAGAAAATTTTATACTCGTAATATAAGTCCTACAGAAATTACCTTAGCTGATGTTATTCAGACAATATATACAAAAGAGAATCAATAGCCCCCAAAGCTAGTAAGAGGTGCTGATTTACTGCAATGCACCCTGCAATAAAGAGAAGCCGGGATTGAAGGATGAGTGAACTAGTAGTCTCTGAGATAAAATTCTTTTTGATCCATATCAGTCACGTATCAGTAATATAGATGCAGTGATGTCATTTTCTGTGTGAAGTTAGATGCAGCTACCTCATTTAAAACTTCTAACTTTCCATTGAAACATTTCACGGGGACAGACTTTGCGCAAAGCCTAACTCAGCCTCTCACAAATATAGTATATGTGAATTCAGCTTTTGTTCGCCTACAAAGTAGGCACTGGTTGATATGTCAACCTAAAGATAAAGTAAGACACGATTGATTCTTAGTATAACATCTTATGTTTACTGGCAGACAATAGTATTAACAGTAAATGTCGGTCATAACAGAATTAGACTAATGTTTGAAGTTTCGGAAATGGAGACATTTAAAAACGGTCAGACAAAATCCATGATAATCAGGAGAAAATTGCGATAGTCAATCATATGATTGAACAAATTAGACGAGATTTATCAAAGTAGCGCTGTCCTAAAAGTTCAGAAAAAGCAGAATTTGTGTATTCAGCCAAACTAACCGGAAAAAAACATTAGATATATGCCATTCTCACTGCTATCTTGATTGCATTATGCTGTACGCAAGCAACAGCAACTATTATTGGCTTGCTTTGAGATATATACATACAAGTTATAGACTAGAAAATTGCATTTAAGTTGGTGATCATACTATCAAAAATATCCCTCATATCTCTCTTTTTAAACATGTGGTGCCCATTATCATCTCTAATATTAAAGGTAATCCATGAGCGAGAAAAAAAAAACACGCTATATAAGGGCAGCACCTTTGAGCTTTGTGTCCACATCATCTCATTTCACAGTCATGGGCAGTTTCTCTCGGATCCTCTTCATCTCTCTAACTGTTTGCTCAGTAGTTGTAGCAAACTTTTCAGTCTCTTCAGAGGCTAGAGCATTCTTTGTGTTTGGAGATTCTCTGGTTGACAATGGCAACAACAATTATCTTGCCACCACAGCTCGAGCTGACTCGCCGCCATATGGCATTGACTACCCGAGTCACCGGCCAACTGGCCGGTTCTCCAATGGGCTTAACATCCCTGACATTATCAGTTACGTGACTCTCTAATACACTGGCAAAAATTAGAAAACTAGTTCCAGCAGAATTAATTAGGATTTCTTCTTCTTCGTAGAGTTCTATAAATATAACGGAGATGAGGGTTTACAGAGAATTTTGACAGAAATTTTAAGAAATCAATGCTCAAGGACTGCATTCTCTCCTCTCTTCGTCCTTTTCTATGTTTTCCGAATTCTAAAAGGATCATATGTTATCTGTTGTTGCTGTCCGAGGACGTAGGACTTATCCCGAACCTCATTAAATATTTTTGCTTGCAATTATTATCTATCTATGCTTTTTGGTAACGTTAACCTGTAAGTTTGATTGACCTCAGGCGAGCAGCTTGGAACTGAGCCAACATTGCCCTACCTGAGCCCGGAACTTGAGGGGCGAAAATTGCTCGTTGGCGCCAATTTCGCATCAGCTGGGATCGGGATTCTCAACGACACTGGCATCCAATTTGTAATCCATTCAAAATTCTATATTTATTTTTTTATCCCGTTCAAATCCTAAATTGAATCATTTTATGCAGTTTAACATAATCAGGATCACGAAGCAACTGAAGTACTTTGAGCAGTACCAGCAGAGGCTAAGCACCTTAACTGGACCGGATCAGACAACTCGCCTTGTGAATGAGGCCCTTGTTCTCATCACTCTCGGAGGCAACGATTTCGTCAACAATTACTACTTGGTTCCGTACTCTCCACGCTCTCGGGAGTTCTCTCTACCTGACTACGTTCGCTATTTAATCTCCGAGTACAAGAAAATCCTCGGTGTATGTTCACCATCACTGAACTGCCTGCTCTACTTATTTTCTTGCCTCTGAGTTCAACTTCTGTGCAGAGATTGTACGAGTTAGGAGCTCGTCAAGTTCTGGTCACGGGTACGGGTCCAATGGGCTGTGTACCCGCTACGCTCGCTCAAAGGAGCCGTGATGGGAATTGTGATCCGGAGCTGCAAAGAGCAGCGGACTTGTTCAATCCCCAGATGATCCAGATCATAAATGAGCTCAACTCGGAGATCGGCACAACCGTGTTCACAGCGGTTAACGCTAGGAGAATGCATATGGATTTCATATCAAACCCTCAGCAATATGGTAACAAGAATTCCAGACTGAACAAAAATATCTACAACATCTGCCGAAAATGTTTGGTGCTTGATAACAAACATACGTAAATATATGTTTGTTTGTTTTTTGTAGGTTTTGTAACGTCGAAGGTGGCGTGTTGTGGACAAGGACCATATAACGGAATTGGACTCTGCACTGTGGCGTCGAACTTATGTCCGAATAGGGATTTGTATGCGTTCTGGGATCCGTATCATCCTTCGGAGAAGGCGAACAGGATAATTGTGAGCCAGTTCATGACAGGTTCTAGCGAGTACATGAACCCTGTGAACCTGTCAACACTGTTGGCTATGGGTGAAAGAACTTGACCGAGAGATCAAACTTTGGTATATTTTATGGTTGGATGTGTTAGGAAAAGTTTGCTAGTAGGCTTTGGTTGGTATGGGGGAGGTACATTAGTAAGTGGTGTTATCTGGTGTGTAAGCGATTGATTATGACTAGGTTATCTGTGTATGAGTTTTTTAAGGATGGTAATGCAGCTAAATTTTCACAATAAATGTGAAATTATGAGCACAATTGGTTTCTCGTTTGGTCTTTGTTTTGAACTTTTTTCTTTAATTCTGTAGTTGTATGGTCCTTGTGCAGTTCGAAAAGAAAACGAAATACACGGGACTGCTAGTCCCGTGCAGTTCGATAAACGAAATGCACGAGACTGCTAGTCTCGTGCAGTTCGAAAAACACTTCCTCAGCAAAACCGACCCTTTCATCTGAAAAGGGTCGGTTTTGCTAAATTTTTTCAGAAATTGTCGATTTTGCTATATAAATTTGAAAAGGGGGTGTTTTCAAAAATTTGTCCGAGAGGATAAACCTTATGGACTTTGTTGTCAAGAACAGAAATTTCAGTGCTTCTTACAACAGGGTTAGAAATCTCAGGGGCTTCGTCACAAAAGAAAGTAAGTTGGAGGCTTTCTTAGAAAAGTGAGTCAAAACTTAGGGTCTTCTCAGACTATATTCTCGCTGGATGTATATATTAAAAATAAAAATATGACGATACACAAAAAAAAATTAAGATGAAAAAACTCACAAAATGATAAACATATCAAAACAGAAAGTAGAAAAATGATGAACGTGGTGCGCTACTGTAAGAAGGATAGTAGGGGGAAATTACAAATTAATCCATTCAATGGTGTAAAATTACAAATACAAACATTAGAGGACCAAATAAAAAATAGGGAAAATTGTGTCCAGGCCCCAAAATGGGGAACTTCATGTGACAAGCCCCCTCGTATTTCACCAAAATTCTCTCCTTTACTCGCGCCATTAATCTTACCTTCTCTTCAAAATGGCTGAGAAGGACATCATTTGCATTGTCTCTTCGGGGTACAAAGCGGTATTTTTGAAGATTAACTCCTCAACCACCATCCTGGATCTCAAATTTGATGTGGCAGAGAGGTTAGGTATTCCATATGAGTCATTAATTCTGTCATACGAAGATGAAACAGCTGGAAGCTTGAAATTTCCTATTGAGAACGAGGGGGACATGATGTCTATGGTGGAGCATTGCCACAATCTTGGACTGAAAGAGGTTCACATGAAAGCTTTTAAAGAAGCTGATGATTTGCAGAATATACACTGCAATGAGCGAGTCCAACCTTGCAAAGAGCAAGTCCCACAAGACATGTAGGTTAACTGCGAAGTAAACGAACGCTAGTGCTAATCGTCTTCTTTTTGTCTATGTTGAATGTTAAACTGGATTTCAGATGCATTTCAACAATATGTTAGTTGTAATCATTGATCTGTTAGTTCTAATCAACGTGTTGTTGCTGAACGGGTTTTTGTTAGTTCTAATGGCTATTTTGTTAGTTCTAATCGCTATTTTGTTAGTTCTAATCGCTATTTTGTTAGTTCTAATGGCTATTTTGTTAGTTCTAATGGCTATTTTGTTAGTTCTACACGATTGCATGCATCTTAGTTCTACACGATTGCATGCATGTTAGTTCTATTAATACATATAGGGGTTTCTGTTAGTTCTAGTAGCTATTTTGTTACTTCTACACGATTGTATGTTAGTTCTATCACCAGTTCCATATGGGGTAGAGCTACTCTAAAGCGTGTTAGACCCCTATCAACACTTTTATTTGTGTAGTTTATGATTAACTATTTTCCTGTTGTTAATATTTGTAGCGCTTCCAGAAGTCTAAACTCGAAAAGTATAGACTGTGGCCCGCCGGAGTTGTCGTCCACAACTGTTGCAGATAAGAATCCCAATGACATTCCTTCAAGAGATAATGTTATGATGATTGATGACATGATTAGCAGATCTGAGAGGATTCCTGCTTGGTGGCACACTGCGTTAACTGGGGAGGGGCAACGTTTTGAAAGTGCGAAGGAGTTAAGATTGGCCTTGCTATACTACTCCATGGCCAAAAAATTCGAATATGAGTTTGTGAAGAATGAACCAAAGCGTATTCGAGTTTTTTGCCGGTTTAAGGTAGCCAAAAATTGCCCATGGATGTTATTTGCCTCTCCGCCGAAAAATGATAATAGACTTGAAATAAAAAGGTTCGTGGACATTCACAACTGTGGACAACATGCCAATAATGCAGGTCAATCTAGAGCCTCTCGTCATTTCATTGCTACCCAATTACAACCCACGTTGAAGGTACGTCCGGATATACGACCTATTGACGTTCAGAAGGAGTTTCTAAGTTCATATGGGCTTAGGGTTGAATATAGTAAGATTTGGTGGGGTAAAGAAAGAGCTCAAGAGCGATTATATGGTGATGTTTATGAGTCCTACGATCAATTGAGATGGTAAATCAGAAGATCATATATACACAAGTTGCTGTTGTTTTCATTTATATGACGTTATAAGTCTCATAACTTTATAATGTTGAAACTAACGCTTAATCTTCAATTATCTAAGTATGTAGATGAGGTTAAGAAGACAAATCCGGGAAGCTACATTCATGTTGAACAAGACGAGGGTAGGTTTACAAGGATATTCATCTGCTATGCGGCATGCATAAATGGTTTTTTACAAGGTTGCAGACCACTTATACACAACAGACAATAGAACTAACAAAACAGACAATAGAACTAACACAACAGACAATAGAACTAACAAAACAGACAATAGAACTAACACAACAGACAATAGAACTAACAAAACAGACAATAGAACTAACACAACAGACAATAGAACTAACACAACAGACAATAGAACTAACACAACAGACAATAGAACTAACACAACAGACAATAGAACTAACAAGAGAAATAATAGAACTAACACAACAGACAATAGAACTAACAAGAGAAATAATAGAACTAACACAACAGACAATAGAACTAACACTCTGCACATTAGAACTAACATGACACTGTACAGAACTAACACAACAGACAATAGAACTAACACTCTGCACATTAGAACTAACATGACACTGTACAGAACTAACACAACAGACAATAGAACTAACAAAACAGATCATAGAACTAACACAACACCTGACAGAACTAACACTTCAGAAATCTAGTTCTAATATCGCTATTATAATTCTATCTCCTTCGTAGTTAACTTTAAGGGCTGTTAACCAATACTCTTTGTAGGTTTGTGGTCCATTCTTTATGAAAGGGCAGATCCATACAACCCTCCACATAAGCTAGTGATAATTTCAGATGCGGATAAAGGGATCAGAGAAGCAGTTAGAGAATTTTTTCCCGATTCTATACACTCTCGCTGTGTGCTGCATCTGGTCGAGAACTTCAGAACAAAGTTGAAGGATTTGGGATTCAAGTCAAAGGATTCTCAGATCTTGGGTAATCTACTGCAATCTGCCTGTTACAAATATACTAGAGCAGAATGGAATGATTATATGGACGACATCAGACTAATTGACGAGCGTGCATACAATATTGTGATGAACTATGCTCCAGAAAACTGGGCCAATGCGTTTTTTCCTGGAGTTAGGCAAGTAATATTTCATTTGATTACCTTACATATAACTAATAGAAGTAGATAGAACTAACACTGTCTATGTTTAGATATGGTCACGTTACATCAAATGTTGCAGAGTCATTCAACAAATGGATTCATGAGGCAAGGCTTCTACAGATACTCCAACTGATAGAGCATATTCGTAAACAGATCATGGTGCGCATGAATGAGCGACGAGTCATGGCTGAAAGTTGGAATCAAGTTCTTTGCCCCAAAGCTGAAATTGCCCTCAAGGAGAACATGGACAATGGACGCCCGTTGGAGGTTCGTCAGTCCCACACAGGCTTATTTGAAGTACAATCCCATAGATCTTGTCAAGTGGATCTAGACAATAAAACATGCACTTGTCGTGGGTGGGATGTAACCCGTGTCCCTTGCAAACATGCATGCGCAAGCATTATGTTTATGAAAAGGGATGTCTATCAATTCTGTGACTGGTTTATGACGGTTGACGCCTTTAAAAGGAGCTACGAGCCTATCATCTACCCTATACCTGACTACGAGAAACGCAGCGTGCCAAGGGATGAGATACAGATCCTACCTCCAATTACAACTAAAAGGAAAGGGAGAAATAAGACCAGGCGAATCAACAACAGAACTGTTTACACCCGGCCAGTTAAATGTTCTCGGTGTCATCTGGAAGGGCATAATCGTAAAACCTGTAATGAAACCATCGCTGACTAAGTGTGATTGAAATGAAAATAGATCTGTTATTGTCCGATTTGCTAAGTGTGTTTTGAGATAAAACTATCGTGGACTGTCGTAAAACATGTAATGAAAATAGATCTGACTATTGTCTGATTTGCTAGCACACTTCTAAAAATAGATCTAACATGGTACCTATTAGAACTAACAAAACAGACAATAGAACTAACAAGAGCGTTAATAGAACTAACAATAGAACTAACAGAACTAACACACTGAGCATTAGAACTAACACAATAGAACTAACAAAACAGACATTGTACCTAATAGAACTAACAAAATAGTCAATAGAACTAACAAAACAGAAAATAGAACTAACAAAGCAGTAGAACTATCAAAACAGACAATAGAACTAACAAAACAGACAATAGACCTAACAAAACAGTCTATTAGAACTAACAAAACAGTCAATTAGAACTAACACAACAGACAATAGACCTAACAAAAATAAGAACAAACAAAACAGACAATAGACCTAACAAAACAGTCTATTACAACTAACAAAACAGACAATAGAACTAACAAAGCAGACAATAGACCTAACAAAACAGTCAATTAGAACTATCAAAACAGACAATAGAACTAACAAAACAGACAATAGACCTAACAAAACAGTCAATTAGAACTATCAAAACAGACAATAGAACTAACACACTGAACTAACTCTCATTACAACTAACAAGAACGTTAATAGAACTAACAAAATAACTAACACAACTAACACACTGAGCATTAGAACTAACAGAATAGACAATAGACAATAGAACTAACAAAACATACAATAGAACTAACAAAGCAGACAATAGACCTAACAAAACAGTCAATTAGAACTATCAAAACAGACAATAGAATTAACACACTGAGC